GTGGGTAGCAACTTAAATGTCCATCAACTTGGTGAATGGACAGACAAAATGAGGAAAATAGCCTTATAGTAAGATACATCTACACACTAAAAAGAACAAACACTGACACATGCTACTTTATGAATGAACTGCAAACACTTTACTAAGTGAAAGAGTTGGCATCATGTATTATATAATTAGATTTATGTGAAGTGTCCAGGATAGGCAAACAAATCTATAAAGTTGCTGTCTTGAGCGAAGGTGGGAAAGAGTATTCAATGAAAATGAACATGAATCATCCAATTATTGGGATTCTAAAAATGTTCTAAAACTGATTTATAGTGATAACTATAATTCAGTAATTCAGTAAAATTACTAAAAATATGCTTCCAAAATGTTGCTTTTAAAAAAAGGCAAGGAGCAAAGTAGTAAAAATATTTCATTTTATTGAAAAAAATAGTATTTCATCTTATATGCAACATGTATTGAAAATAATATGCTGCATGTATGTATAAAAAAGGAACTTAAAGTCATATAGAGCAAACTATTACGAGCAAAATGTGTCTAGGAAATGGAATATGACTACAAATTAACATTCTAATAAAAAATAAATAAGGGCATCCTGGGTGGCGCAATGAAGCTATTACCAGCAACTACAACATGAGCTCAATCCCTGGCAAGGGAGCGAAATCACATGGCATAGCAGACCTCTCCTGTCTTCCTGGCTGCTCCCCTCAGAAGTGTATTTCAGTAGATCTGCCTGTTCTGCTCCCTACTCTGTCTCTGGTGAGCCCCCTCATCCCTGCACCTCTGGCCTACACTCCATTTCTTCTATGCACAAATGAAAAATAAATCTAAAAAAAAAATAAGCCAAGTTTTTCTTATAGAATATAATTAAGCCATTATGACAAGCAGTTTTAAAACATAATTTTCTCCCAAGATAATATAATTGTTGACATAAATTCTTGATTATTAGTAAGTAGTTTTTTTCTCTTTTCTGCTCAAATTTTTAATTTGGTGGGGGAATTTAATTAAAATATAATTCACACACCATAGAGTTTCGCTCATTTAAAATATACAGTACAATAATTTTGGATATTTTTTTAAAGTTGTACAAAGCACATCACCGTAACCAAGTTAGAACATTACCCCTGGAAAAGAAACCTGTAATAGATAAATTTTTAAAAATAGGTATTTCCTTATCACTGATGGCCATAATTTCAGTTGACTAAGTAAATATACATGTCCACAAATATATTCGCACATGAATGTTTACAGTAGCATAATTCACTGTAGCCAAAAAGTGAAACAACCCAGATAGCCCCATTTCCTTAGTACATATAGGCAAAATGTAGTATACTGGAATATTATTCAGTTGTGAAAGGAATAAAATACTGCTATACACTACAACACTGGTGAATTTGAAAACATGCTAAGAAAGAAAACTCTATTATTTCATTTATATTAAAGTCCAGGATAAGAAAATCTCTGAAGACAGAAAGCAGATTAGTGGGCTGCTTGGTTAGGAGATAATGTGCAGGTCAGGTACGAGGGAGGGACAGGGTGATGAAAGGTACAGGATTTCTTTCTGAGATAAGGAAAATGTTTAAAATTTAAGTTGATAAACACTGCAAACATCTGTGAGTATTACAAAAAACTTTAAAAGAGTAATGAGAGTAATGAGTAGTGGATGTAATATATCTCAATGAAGTTATCAAAAAAATAAATATTTTTATGCTTTTAAATCTATAGATTCTCACAGAGAAATTTTAGTATTAACTGACAAAACAGCTATTAAACACCACTACTGATCCAAGGGGGACAAATTACAACGCAGGTTTGCAGTAAGATAGGATCTTTTATCTGCTAATCACAATGCACTTTACAAAGAGGCAATACTTTCAAAATATCCAGGTGTGACTTGGAGAAAAGAAAGAAAAAACTCATTGTAATAATTCCTACTAGTAAGTAGGAAAAAAAGGTTTGTCATCCTTTGAAGATTTAAGTCCAGATTCATACAGATCCTTTAAAAAGAATACAAATTTCTCAGGACCTATTATTTCCTCTAAGCACTTTAATTTAAATAAAATGACGGCAGTTAACAGTTCAATGTATTTGTCAGATCCTTTTCTGCATACATCTAATAACATGTTATTTTTCAAAATGAAAATGAGATCACATTACGTAGGTTTATACCTAAATAGTCAGTTACACTGAAATTTATTTGAAAATATAAAGTACGTTTGCCAAGTCAGTGAAAATGCTCAGATTTTTTTTCTAAAGTAACATACAGTTTACAAGTGTGACAGTTTTAAAATTTCAAATTAAAATCTATTAACTAAGTCATCAAGGCCCATCCTGATGGCCCAGGGGTTAAAGTCTCAGTGCTAATCAAGCTACCACCAGTTGTCACATGTAGCATGAGTTCCATCCCTGCCAGGGAGCTAATCCACATGGGGCAGCAGACCTCTCCTATCTCACCCAATGTTCCCCTCAGCAGTGTATTCAAGTAGATTAGACTTTTCTGCTCCCCACTCTGTCTCTGGTGCACGAGAGTACAAGCACAAGCGCATGCGCGTGCCCACAAACACACACACAGACACACACACACACCCCACACCACCCCC